AACTGTGAAATTAGCAAGACCACGTGGTCTCTCCCAATCAGTACTAATCATTTCCCTTCTCAGAATGGGACCAGTATCCCTGTAGGAGCCAGAGAGATTAGCTACTGAATTAATTCATGATAAGTGTTGAGTGACTGATAACAGATAATCATACTTGTCCTCCCAAGGGAAGCTGCCTTTTAAAAGATAATAGGGAATGGCCATGATTTAACCTAAAAATATAGACCTTACTTGTTGGGAACCTGACATTGAATGATACTCCAGTGGTAGAAATTGAGGGCGGGGTGCAACCTGTTCTTTATAGGGAGTCCCTGTCCCACGTGTGAAAGACCCGTAGCCCAATCCATCAGTTCTCCGGCTTTTCTCATTTCTGGGCCTGTATCTTCCCTTGGTGTCTGGGTTCTGGGGTAGCTACCATCCAACTGGCCTTGTTGTCTTTCCCCACCACCGAAGGCAGACGAGTTCACCATTGAGTCTGTCACCATGCGGAGGGTGAGGCGGGTGAGGATCCGACATGACGGCAAAGGCTCGGGCAGCGGCTGGTACCTGGACCGGGTGCTGGTCAGAGAGGAGGGGCAGCCCGAGAGTGACAATGTGGAGTTCCCGTGCCTCAGGTACATGAGCCCTACCTGCTTTTACTTTCTCCAGCTTGGGTTATGACCTCTAAATTTTGGGAAGACCCAGCCCTAATACCTAGACCAGTGAACAAAATAGTGGCTTAAGGCTGTAGTTGGGGCAATAAAGAGGTGGCGTCACTGGTAGTGTCTGGCCTGGGCTTCACATCCCCACCCTAGGTTGAAACACCAGTGTGGACTGTTCCGGTGTGCTGCTAATTTGCTCTATTTAAGTACCAAAAAGTTGGTATTTTTTCATGATAAAATTTGACAGTATCTGAATTTAACTGAGCATTACCTCAGAGTTAGTTATGTGCTGAATTAAATTTTTGAATCAAGTGTTTTTAAGATTGAAACAATTGATTGTACATATCTGTGGGGTACAGCATTGCATATCAATACCTGTATGAAATATGTGATGCTCAAATCAGGATAACTAGTATATTCAACTTTACACACTGTAATCATTTTGTGTCCCTTTACCAATTTCTCACTAGCCCCCTTTCTATTCCCCCTTCCCCACCTCTGTTAGCCGCAGTTCTGTTCTCTATTTTTGAAAGTTTAATGAATTGTTGTGATAGTTGAACCTTTCTTTCTTTCTTTTATTTGTTTATTTTTTTAGCTCCCACTTATGAGTGAAGACATAAGGTATTTCTCTTTCTGTGCCTGGGTTATTTCACTTAACATAATTTTCTCTAACTTCATCCATGTTGTTGCAAAGGCACAATTACATTCTTTTTTATTGCTGAGTAGTATTCCGTTGTGTATATATAACACATTTTATTTATGTAGTCATCTGTCAATGGACATTTAGGTTGGTTCTAACTCTTGGCTAATGTAAACAGAGCTGCGATAAACATGTGAGTGCAGGTGTCTCTTCAACATAATGATTTCCATTCCTTTGGGTATACACCCAGCAGTAGGATTGCTGGATCTTACGGCAGTTCTATCTGTAGTTGTTTGAGGAGGCTCCATACTGTTTTCCATAATGCCTGCACTAATTTGCAGGCCACCAACAGTGGAGGAGGGTTCCCCTTTCTCTGTATCCTTGCCAGCATTTGTATTCTCTGTCTTTTTTGATAATGGCCAGTCTAACTGGGGTGAGATGATATGTCAATGTGGTTTTTGATTTGCATTTCCCTGATGCTTAGTGATGTTGAGCACTTTTTCATGTGTCTGTTGGCCATTTGTATGTCTTACTTTGGGAAATGACTATTCAGCTCCTTTGCCCATTTTTTAAACAGGTTACTTGGTTTTTTTACTATTAGGTTGAGTTCTTTGTATATTCTGGATATTAATCCCTTTTTGAATGCATAGTTTGCAAATATTTTCTCCCACTCTTTAGGTTGCCTTTTTGCTCTGTCAACTGTTTCTTTTGCTTTTTGTATTAGTTTGATATAATCCCATTTATTTTTTCTTTCATTGCCTGTGCTTTTTCTTATTCATAAAGTCTTTACAGTACTACTTCCTGAAGGGTTTCTGCTGTTTTCTTTTAAGATTTTTATAGTTTCATGTCTTATATTTAAGTCATTAGTCCATCTTTGAGTTGATTTCAGTATATGGTGAGAGGTACAGTTCTAGTTTTATTCTTCTACATACGATGTCCAGTTTACCCAGCACCACTTATTGAAGAGGCTGTCCTTTCTCCAATGTATGTTCTTGTCTTTGTCAAAGATCACTTGGCTGTAAGTATGTGGGTTGATTTCTGGGTTCTCTATTCTGTTCCAGTTGTCCAAGTGTTTGTTTTTTGGTTACTATAGCTTTGTAGTATAATTTGAAGTCAGATAATGTTATGCCTCTGGCTTTTTTTTTTTTTTTTCCTCAGGATTGCTTTGGCTATTCAGGATCTTTTGCTGTTCCATACGAATGTCAGGATCATTTTTTCCATTTCTGTGAAGAATGTCATCAATATTTTGATGAGGATTGTATTGAATCTATAGATTGCTCTGTGTAGTATGGACATTTTCACGTTAATTCTTCCGATCTGAGAGCATGAAATATCTTTCCATCTTTTTGTATCCTCTTGAATTTCTTTCAGCAGTGATTTGTAGTTCTTGTTGTAGAGATCTTTCACCTTCTTGGTTAAGTTTATTCCCAGGGGTTTTGTGTGTGTGTGTGTGTGTGTGTGTGTGTGTGTGTGTGTGTGACTATTGTAAATGGGCTTGATTTCTTGATTTATTTTTCTGCTAGTTCATTATTGTAGTATAGAAACACTACTAATTTTGCATTTTTCTTTTACTAGTGGGATTTGTTTTTTTCTTGAGCATTTGTGGTAGTGGTGGTTGTTTTTCAGGTACCAGATCCAGTTCTCCCTTGAGAATTTCTTGTAAGGCTGGTTGTGTGGTAGTGAACGCCCGCAGTTTTTGTTTATCTGAGAAAAATACTATTTGTCCTTCATTTCGGAAGGATAGCCTTGCTGGGTAAAGTATTCTTGGCTGGCAGTCTTTGTCTTTTAGTATTTTGAATATTTCATCCCATTCTTTTCTGGCTTTTAGGGTTTCTGATGAAAAGTCTGATGTTAGTCTGATTGGGGCTCCCTTATAGGTGACTTGACGCTTCTCTCTTGCAGCTTTTAAGATTCTTTGTCTTTGAGTTTTGCCAGTTTGACTATAATATGTCTTGGAGAGGACCTTTTTGGGTCGAATATGTCTGGGGATCTCTGAGTCTCCTGAATCTGAAGACCTGTATCTTTCCCTATACCTGGGAAGTTTTCTGCCATTATTTTGTTGAATATGTTTTCAATGACATTTTCTTTTTCTTCCCCTTCTGGAATACCCATGATTCAGATACTTTAGCACGTAAGGTTGTCTGTTATCTCTCTTAGATTTTCTTCAATGTTTTTAATTCATTTTTCTTTCTTTTTTTTTTTTTTGTCTGCCTGTGTTATTTCAAACAACCCATCTTCAAAGTCAGAAATTCTCTCTTCTGCTTGTTCTAGCCTGCTGGTTATTAAACTCTCTGTTGTGTTTTTTATTTCATTGAATGAATTCTTCAGCTCTGCAAGCCCTGCTATATTCTTTTTCAGGGCATTGATTTCTTTGTACATTTCTTCTTTCAGATCCTGTATACTTTTTCTCATTTCATTGTGTTGTCTAACTGAGTTTTCTTGGATCTCATTTAGTTTCCTTAGAATTCTTGCTCAAAATTCCTTGTCAGTCATTTCAAGGACTTCCTGTTCTATAGGATCTAGAGCTTGAGAGTTATTACCCTTTGGTGATGGTGTACTTTCTTGAATTTTCATATTTCTGGTATCTTTCCTTTAGTGTTTAGTCATTGTGGTAGGGTATTTCACGGTCCACTCATTCGACCCTCATGTCTGGCTAGGATCCTGCAGGGACTGCCAGTTTGGCATGGCTGCCTCAGTGCCTGTGGGCAGGAGTCTTGGGCCTCTCTGGGCTGCGAGGGCTGGCCTGCACTGGGAGTCCTGCAGTGGCACCTACTGATTCCGATGCAGGGGGCTTGAGGCCCTGTGGGCCTGGTGGCTTTAGGGCCTCTCTGGGTAGCACGCACTGGCCTGGGCTGGGAGTCCTGTGGTGGCACCTACGTGCTCCAGCACAGGTGCCTTGGGACATGTGGGTTTGGCAGCTCTTGGGCCTCTCTGGGGGCCTTTCTGGGTGGCGTGCACTGGCCTGGACTGGGAGTCCCACAGTGTTGCCTACCTGCTCTGGCATGGGTGCCTTGGGGCATGAGGGCCCGGCAGCTCTTGGGCCTCTAGGTTGTTTATTTGAAATCTTTCTGTTCTTTTTTGGTGCAAGCATTTATTGTAATAAACTTCCGTTTAGTACTGCTTTTGCAATATCCTACAGGTTTTGGTCTGATATGTCTTCATTTTCATTAGTGTCAAGCTTTTTTTAATTTCCTGTTTAATTCCTTCTTGGACCCACAGATCACTCAAGAACATGTTGTTTAGTTTCCATGTATTTATATAGTTTCCAGAATTTCACTTGTTATTGATTACTAGTTTTAATCCATTGTGGTCTGAAAAGATACTTGAAATGATTTCAATTTTTAAAAATTTGTTGAGACTTGGTTTTTGACCTAACGTGGTCTGTCGTGGAGAATGTTCCATGTACCAATGAGGAAAATGTATATTCCATAGTTATTGGATGAAATGTTATGTCAATATCTGCCAAGTTTATCTGGTCTAAAGTGCAGTTCAAATCTCATGTTTCTCTGTTGATTTGTTGCTTAGATGATCCGTACAATGCTTATATAGGGGTGTTCAGGTTTCCAGCTATTATTGTACTGGGGACTATCTCTTTCTTTAGGTCTATCAGTGTTTGCTTTATATATCTGGGTGCTCTGGTGTTGGATGCATATACATATTCATAGTCTTCTTGCTGGATAGATCCCTTAATCATTATATCATAGCCTTCTTTGTCTTTTTTTTATGGTTTTTGGTTTAAAACATATTTTACTCAATATAAGAATAGCTACTCCTGCTCTTTTCTGGTTTCCATTTGCATGGTATATCTTTTTCCATCCCTTTAGTATTATATGTGTGTGTCTTTACAGTCAAAGTGAGTCTCTTGAAGATAGCATAAAGTTGTGTCTGGCTTTTTAATCCAATCAGTCAGTCTGTGCCTTTTGAATGGGGAATTTGATCCATTTACATTTAAGGCTATTATTGAGAGGTATTGTCTTACTACTGGCATTTTATTGACTTTGGATTTTTAAATATCTTTTCTTCCTTTCTTCCTTTTTATTGTCTTTGGTTTTCGTTTGGTTTTTGAGGTGGTAAGATACAGTTTCTTTCTCTTCCTTGTTTGCATTTTTGTTCTACCAGTGGGTCTTGCTCTTTTTTGTGTATTCATGGTAGTGATTATCATTTTTTAGATTCCAGTTGCAGAGTTCTCTTGAGGATTTCTTATAGGGCTGGTTGTGTAATGGTAAACTCCTACAGTTTTTGTTTGTCTGGGAAATACACTATTTCTCCCTCATTTCTGAAGGATAGCCTTGCTGGGTATAATTTTCTTGGGTGGCAGTTTTTTCTTTTAGTA